GACTCAGCCCAGCTGGCATCTCAGATAACACTAGTGTTAAAAGAGCAATGGTTTATTTCGAACGGTACTTAGGAGCACACAAAGCGTTCACCAGTGTTTTGACAATACTCCCATAAACCCACCGTGTGTATATATATATATATATATATATATATATATATATATATATATATATATATATATATATATATATATATATATATATATATATATATATATATAATATATATATATGCGAACAAGCCTGAATGGTCCCCAGGACTATATGCAACTGAAAACTCACCCCAGAAGTGACTCGAACCCATACTGCCAGGAGCACTCTGCTGGCGTACAGGATCCCTTAACCGCTCGACCAACACTCCAACTCTTCCCACATAAAGCAATTGTACAGTTGTTGTTTTAGATTCAGCTACTTGAACAAAATTTCCATGTAGCACGGGCTATGGTGAGCCCGTCATGAAATAATAATTGTACGGGGATCTACTTAATTATATATGTCCAGCCAGGGGTGGCGTGCTCGGTGACATCTTCCTACCCATCCTACAAGTTTCGAGTTTCTGAGGCATGTCACCAACCAACATGCTGCGAGCCAGAAGCAAACTAGTGTATAAAACTTAAATCCACATTAACATCCAAGGTCATGTTTAGTTTGTTGATGAAGGTTGAGAGAGAACTAACTCAAGGGTCAAGACGCGGCGGCTGACAGGAGCCGAGGCGTCACAACAAGTGAGACGCGGTTAAGACGGGACTAGTATAAACCGGGTCCACGGGACCAGATATCAAGGGGAGTAACCGGTATAAGAGCTGCGATCCGGCGTCCGAGGTCAACACTATGACCCCCCAAGAACTAGATCTGGCTGCCAGGGACATATGCACTTGTTCAAACATGAGCATACTCTGCTGTTAGTTTATCTGAGAACTATGCTCTTATTGCTGCTGTAAACTGGTGGTGGATTTGTTAAACCATTAACGTGGTGTATTTGTTAAACCGTTAAAGTGGTGTATTTGTTAAACTGTTAAGGTGGTGTGTTTGTTAAACTATGACCACGCTGTATGCGTTGTGTAATATTTACATTAAGTGGGTAGCAGTGGGGCGGCGTGTAAGAGTGTACACAGTGTTGAGTGTGGTTAACTAGGCCAAGAATAATGTGTCCAGACTTCACCACCACCCCCCCCCCCTCCCCCCCCAGTCTACCACACCGTAACACAAACACCGCCCGGCAACTTGCATACAACCTTGCAACTGACAGTGCTCTTCATGACAATAATAATAATAATATTTGTAATAATATCTAATAAAGTTTTAAGTCAACATTTTTGTTAAATAATACTACCTTTGCCACTATTAATAATACTAATTAATGTTGATAATAATTACACTAATAATAAAGATAGCAATGATAATACCGATAATAAGGATATCGGCAATATTAATAATCTCGGTAAGTCATAATACAGGTACTGTAATGATAAATCTGAACACAATAATGTAGATAAAGCAATTCTGTATACTGTATACAGATACTGTGCTGTCATGATAGACGGGGGGGGGGAACACGGGTTTGTGGGATCCAGATGTGGAACGACGGTAGTGGATGGGCAATGTGTGGATTGACGAGAGTACATGAGGAATGGTGTAGATTCCGGCTGGCTGATTAGGAGATAGTTATGAATTATGGTTGATAGGAGGTGGATAGAGGTGAAGGCGCGTGGGGAGGAGGGAGGGGGGGGGGGAAGAGGCGGGATAGATAAACAGACAGAGAAGGCTGACACGTCATCCCACCAGACGGGGAGCTGGGAACAGGAACCGGCACTGCAAGAAATTGTCAGGCATGCGCGCGCGCGCGCGCGCACACACACACACACACACACACACACACACACACACACACACACACACACACACACACACACACACACACACACACACACACACACACACACACTAAAATGGAAGCAGCTACATTAATAAAAAAGTATATAGTTGTGGAGATAACAGCATCTCTAACGTCAAAAGCTCGCACTATCACACCGCCAGCAGCAAATTTGCTCCCTGTTAAACTAACAAACATACGGACACAGCAACACAAAAAACATCAGTAAACACAAAATCTTATAATAAAGAGAATGTTATAGTAAACTAAAAACATAAAGAGCTAACTCGCTTCCCAGTAGACACTGAAAGGTAAAACCTTCACCAAAAATGACGTGTAATTCATTGTGAATTATATATGACATCTTCAGTAAAGTCTATTTTATTCTGAGGGTCAAGCTCAACTGAATCGGTAAGAGGTGTCGGCAAATTGGCGATTCAACCAATTGAATCGACAGGATGTGACTGTTCGACTGAATCGACAGGATGTGACTGTTCAAGCAACTGAATTGATACGTGGAGAGAAAAAGTATACAGTGAATACCAATAGAAAGAGAGGAGATGGATAAACATTAAATGATAAAAATTATTATTAACATTAATTAGTATTATTAATAGTGGGAAAGGTAGTATTATTTTCAAAATGGAATATTTTTCAAATATTATTTCAAATAATATTATTATTGTTATTAATAATGGAGGCGATATGTCACCACTCACAGGGATGCGAGGAGATACTCTTATAGCCCAAGAGACGTAGGGAAACAGAATGAACTAAATGGGAAGATAGAATTGGAAAACAACGCCGTACACAATTTCAAATATGTAGGTATGACGGGAAATATACAGATTGGGAGTATTAGACGATGATAGGCGGAAGACCAAGAGCTAAAGCTTTATTTTCCCATAGAAAGTGATTTCACACACGTCAGCCCATCGTTCAAAAAAGATATTATGTATAGTAATATGGTTATACGTAGCTGTGTGTACGGCTGGACCCCAAAAGTTCACGTTTAGTATTAAATTACTCCAAAAGACATTCAATTAAAATCGGAAATGGGAACTAAAGAACGTAACTTGTCCAAGCAATCCTAGGCCTAATGTATGTGCTATACTAGGCCTACGAATGTTTACATTTAATGTTTATTTTTTTCTAAGATTGTAAAATTAATAGTAGAAGTCGTGCAAACTTTTTGGGTCCAACAGTACATATTGGTACCTTCGACCAAACAGTTACTACGAGGATGGGTTGATCCATCCTCCTCCTCATATTAGGTGGAGTTGCGTGCGCGCGCGCACTCGCGGGTGCCTGATACCCACCCAAAGGGCGCCCATATGTCGGTACAGTCACCCACCGATGCTTAACGTGACCGACCGAGAGGCGAACATACTCATCCCCTCCATATACACTGTGTACACTATCTCAAATCCACACAGAACATCCTTGGTATTAACCGACAGGTGTTAAAAATAACACCTGTCGGTTGAGGATTGAAAGGCGAGACTCAAGAAGTAAAGCCTGCTGAGCTCTGCAAGCATGGCTTGGTGAGTACACCTACATGTGTGCACTCACAAAATACACTCGACAGTAACAAGAGTGGATGAAGAGTGTGACCTGATCAACCGGGCTGTGACTCGTAGTTGCGGGCCGCGAGGACATTGATTCCCAGAAGTGAGACAAGGTAGATGGAAGGCAGATAGGAGAGGAAGAGAAAGTACAAGTCAAGAAGGAGAGAGGAGAGCAGAAACAGGTGTAGAGAGCTGGGTGTATCGGCGCCATCGTCCTGCTCTGCTATAAATACTCCCACTGGCCAGACCTCTCCCTTCTTGCCCTTGCCACAACCAATTCCTCCCAGTAGTCATTCCTTACCTCCACAGATATGGCCAGTACCTACACCTTACTCCACAGATACTCTTCTTATATTATTCTTCCTTCCTGTCACCCCCACTCCCTCCCCCTCCCTACAGTAATACAGGCACGTTTTAATTGATGAAGATTAAGCCACCCAAGAGGTGGCACGGGCATGAATAGCCCGTAAAGGCACGTTGTGATCTTAACTGTAATATGTCCACCCACGCCTTCACAGCTCTCTCTTAGCGAGGTGAGGGGGGGGGGAGAGGGTGAAGGAGGGAGAACTATTACATAGATCTATAGATATGACGGGATTGGGAGAATAGAGGGAGGGGAAAATCAGTCCAATATGGTTTCAGAAAAAAATCATTTTGCATGTTCACGTTGTGTGTCGTGAGCCACCGGTTGAGTCCAAGGTGACTTGGGTTGTTACACTGGACTCTGCGGGTGTTAAAAGGCTTCGCACACACCGCCAAGTCTTGGACTCTCAACCTTTGATCTACACTCTAGTGATTACCTTCCATTTCCAACACTTGATAGAGTTTGAATTGGAACAGAATATAAAAGTAAGTTGGTTAACAAAAGATGTGTTTCGACCCTTGTTTCGGAATGACTCGGGAATAGGGGATCCCGGGTTCGAATCCCGGGCGGGGCAAAAATGGTTGGGCAAGTTTCCTTTGCATCTGTTCAGCTAGCAGTAAATAGGTACACGGGAGTTAGTCAGCAGTTGTGGGGGTTGCATCTTGGGGAGGGCCAGTAGTTCGACCTTGGGGGGGGGGGAGGAACCTCGACACCAGCATAATGTACTGTATATACATACACAAACTGCCTGTCCCCGACAAAACAAGACGAATTATCATCATGTGTGTGTATACCCACAAATTAGTCAAGGAATAGGGTAAGGATAAATATAAGATAATAGAGTTTGGGAGAGTTTTTGGAGCGCAGGCATGCGAGTCTAGTCTGCCAGGACCTTCCTACCAAGAGGCAACATGTGAACTATGCAACACACCGGTGTGTTCCCCTGCTACCTTGTTCCAACCTATCCTCCGGTTACCCTGCCCACTGCCACCTGTCACTAACGGCTGTGTTAGACAGCTACATCAATGAGTTACCAATCTATCCACTATGAGGTTCTAGCTCGAGTTAGTGACTGAAATGACAGGTTGTGAAAGGTCTGTGCACTCGCGCTTGTCCCAACTCCGGTGTGTGCCAAGCCAAGCTGGGGGAAGGGAGAGGGGAGGGGTAGGGGAAGAGGTTCTGAAAAAGTAAGGTTGTGGGACTCGTTTGTGAGTAGTGCGCGTGTATGTGTGTGAGAGAGAGGTAGAGAGGAGTGGTGACAAGTCTTCCTGGCGATACGCTCTCCTGAAAGACATACTCGAACTCCCTCTTTCATATTGTCGTGGTTTAGCGTCGAGTCGCCAGGTACCGTGTTCCTTCTGTGTGTTGGTGTGATAGTGCTAATACTGGTATCTACTGTCATGTCTATATTATCTATGGTATATGACCGGCAACTGCCCATGATGCCTTGCTTAGTTGGATTACGAGTGTGGATCAGGCTACCTCGTAGCACTGGAGTTAGCGCTGAAAACACTGAAGAGTCCCATATAATGTTTTAGCCTATTAAACCAGTATCAGGCTAACCAGTAACGTTGACCAATATCAACGCTGCCTGAGGAGGCCTACTACTACTATTCTCGCAGGTCACCTGAGCTCTGCATGTTAGTGTGGACACGATAGGGCACAGTTTCTACGGTTGGTGAAAATAGTACCAACCACGTTGAGTACTGAGCAAAATTATAACTTGGATGTATTGAAAGATCTTGTATAGTACGAGAGTGGCTATACCGGCAGCTCTGGAATAAAGTGTGGTTATAGAGTGAGATATAATATGGGATAAATGTAGTAGTTATACAGAAGTGTAAATGTGGTTATACTAGCTGCTTCTTAAGTGAAACCTGCACCTATCTGGTGAATAAGTGTGTATGTATGCTTGTAGTGTACATGCGATGAAACATGTATACATGTATTACAAATGAGGCCGTTCGTAACAACACGGGCACAGCTTAAGCCCCGGATGAGATACATGAGTGCCTAAATTAAGGAGTGCTGCAGGATGGAAGCAGTCAGGTGATAATTTATAGTGTTAACGTGAGTGCAAAGCGGGTATATGGCTTAACAGGTATGGCTCAACTTTGTTTTGTGCGTCCAACAGCCTGGTTGACCCGTCCAGCAACCAGGAGGCCTGGTCGAGGACCGGGCCCCGGGGACGTTGAGCTCCGAAATCATGGCAAGGTAGCCACAAAGTAACCTGACGTGTCCGTGTTATTAATCTAAGGAGCGGCTCAAAATAATGTACAATTCGTACCAGTCCAGGAATTTCTACTATAGCTAAAGAGGTTCTTATATTTAAAAAAAAATTATCATTCAGAATAGTTTTAAATGTCATAATTGCATTGCAGCTAAAGGACACATAAGTCAGGGGCACGTAAACAGTAGATAAAATATATGGATACAGTTTTATAATTATAAAAAATTTAACGCAAAATGGCGCCCGGTTACAATGCTCGAGATAATAGTTACGTGGTTGTTCACTTGAAGAAAGACTGTCACTTGATGAAGCCTATTAATACATACGTAGTAATTAGTTTACAGCTGCTATCGTTAGCGAATAAAAGGCAGTCGAGTTGTGGTGGGTATCCAGCCATACTTCTGAGTGTTGCCTGGACCTCGCCCACACCGTTACCAGAGTCCGCTTGTGCTTGTCACATACTACCAACCTTACAAGAGTTGCAACTCTTGAGTTACAAGAGACGATAATTAAAGACCGTCTCCAGTCTTTATCCACGAGACTGGATACAGTAACTGGAGAGTTCTAGTCAACTCGTACTAGAAAAAGTCTAATGATTGGACATTATATAATGTTAGATAGTATGACAAGTTCTATTTCAGAGGTGACATGTAGTGGTCACGTTGTAGTGAATAGTTACCTTCAGCCACTGGTAACAATAGCCAATCTGATGCCTGGCAATTACTGTACATTAACTAATTATATAAGAGTAATTACCAAAGTGTAGTTACAGGATGAGAGCTAGGCTCGTGGTGTCTGGTCTTGGCCTCCACCACCACCTCCAACACTCTACCACTCTGTTTGCAAAAGTGAACTTTCTAACTGGTAGACGTTTTGTACTGTCATTATACATTGGTGTCGGTCCTAAATAGATCTTAATTTTTAAAAGCAGTACTTGTACCATGTAGAGTATATTGGTAACACGACTAGGGGCAATATATGATTTATACTTATACCTCAAAGGAAGATGCTTTACGCGCATGTATTTTGGTACCACAGAGGAGGATACATTTATACTAGTACCATAGAGGAGGATGTATACCAGTGTAGTACTACAGACGAGGATCCATGTACTATATCATGTATACTGGTACCACAGAGGGGTGCATGCACCATGTATACCCGCACCACAGAGTATACATGTATCCTGCATTCTAATGCCACAGAGAGTGGGTGAGGGGTAGGGAGGATTGGTGTCTTATATATATATACACACACTCGAGTACCGCCCTAGACCAATGTAGTATACATGTCCTGTGCCAGGTGAGTACGCCGGCCTCAACATAGCCCGAGCTGTGTGCAACATTTTGTTCCGAGGAGCTGACTCTAAAACACCACCACCCTAGACAACCACACTGACTCTGCACTCTTACTAAAGACGTTGTTTACCTCCCATGTTCTCAACGTGGACCTCTTACACCAATTTTAAGTAATTTTGTCGGGGACTGGCAGCCTGTGTGTATTCAATGTTGTGCTTGCGGGGGTTGAGCTTCGGCTCCCGAATCTCAATTGTCAATCAACTGGTGTAGGTATTTGTACAGATTACTGTGTGTATTTACTATTTGCATTTATATTTGTGTCTGCAAAATTGAGCTATTAGCTTTTGGATCCCCGCTTTTCTAATCAATCTATTTTTCATCTATTATATCTACTAAATATATTTCTCGTACACATCCCAGTCCAGCCACTTTCACTGGACGGTAGAGCGACGGTCTCGTTTCATGCAGGTCGGCGTTCAATCCCCGACCGTCCAAGTGGTTGGGCAGCATTCCTTCCTCCCCCCCGTCCCCATCCCAAATCCTTACCCCGACCCCCTTCCAAGTGCTATAAAGTCGTAATGGCTTGGCGCTTTCCCCATGATAAGTAAGTCAGTCGTACACATCCCCCGGAATCAACCCGTAGCAGCTTTCTAACTCCCAGGTATCAATTTTTCTGATAGGTGAACAGGGACATCAGGGTGAAAGAAACTGCCCATGTTTCCGCCTGCACCGGGAGTCGAACCCGGGCCATTAGGACTACGACCCCCGAGCGCTGTTCACTCAGCCGCGAGGCCCCAGTGTGTGTGTACACACGTCGTTGTTTTAGAGTCAGCTACTGGGAACAAAAAGTTTTAAGTAGCACGGGCTATGGTGAGCCCCTAGTGGACTTGGCACAGAAGCGGGGCTGTAACTCGATGGTGTACACACATTTTCTTTAATTTATAACTCTGAACATTTTCGTTATAAAGTTTTTATGAGCATTTTAATTATTTAAAAATTAATCCAAAGTCGTATATAAAATGTGAACAATTTAAATACAAATATTTAGTTTCGTTATGATACCGGGTGTGATTCACGGTTAGTTTAATTTGATGATTACTGTATCATGTATGGTTTTTTTGCCATCATCTTCCAGTACTAATTGGCCAGTAATATTTCAAGTATTGTATTATTAATATTTTAAAATTCGCAGTGGCGATACCTTGCAGAGATAGTAGAGGCTATCTCTGAATAACTTGATGAGTCACTCTCCCTCTCTTCCCAATTCCCCTCTCACCCATCTCCACCATTTTCTTCCCCTTCTCTCACACCTCCACCCCTTCCCTCTTCCCCAACATTCCCATTCCTCTCTCCCTCACAAAATTTAATATTATGAAAACATATTCCCAATTTCAAACTTCATGAAAATCAGTCATTATAGATGGCAATATTTCGTAAAGGTTGGGCCTGGGGGCCAACCTTTACGAAATATTGTAACACTTAATCTACACTTTTCTCCCCTAACATCCTCTTCTCTTTCCCTCTAACCCCCCCCCCCCCCCCCCACCCCTGTCTCAGAAAATGTAATTCTGAATACACGTTCATCATTTTGACTGAAATAATCTAGGGACGTGGTCAGCCACCGTTCACCACTTACATGGTTTTGGCCAAACTTAATAAGACCAATAGGATCGACCCCGACCACCTTTGTCCGTCTCGTACCCCAGACCATTCCCCTTGCAAAGTTGGGTGAGGCTAGCCTCAAGCATCTGGCCTCCAACCTTGGACAGACAGACAGACATTCTATTTTATAGATATTAATGTTGTTTTAAGATTTTTATTTCCTAGTAAGATTATGAGTGAAATACTACATTAAAAAGGTGTGATTTTATAATGCTTGAGAACTGGAAATGTGATGTGAGGTTTTGAATCTGATTGATGTTTTGTTGCTCTAGGCATATTCTAAATGTCAATTTTACACTTTTAATGGGCCTGACCCATTTCACTAATGTACAGGCTAGCCTCCTTGGAGGCAGAAGGAATACAAAGTAAATACAAAAGTGAATGCAAAACGACAAACAGCAACATATAACAAAAATAATAATAATAATCATAATTAGTACAGTATTATCAATAAATCGTTATCCACACCTCCGTGGGTATAAACATTTTTATTTATATGAATTACATGTGAAACATGATACAGTAGAGTATTCATAGGTTACCTTGATATGGTTTCGGGGCTTAGCATCCCCGCGACCCGGTCCTCGACCAGGCCTCCCACTAAGTACACATGGTAATTTATATAAAGCCTCTAATACAATGCGGAGCTGAGGCAGTTGGTGTGACCATGTAGACTGGCTGTTTTTTTCATGGTTCTATAGATGGTACGACATACCTTGATGCAAGATGGCTGTTGATAATTGGACTTGCATTTGATGTGAAGTGCTTCTGTCCTATCTAATCTAGTGTTGCTGTATTTGTAGATTATTTCAGTCTTGCTGCTCAGGTTATCTCTGGTCTGGTTTTCTGTAGAAATTATCTGATAGAACCTTATTGTTTGTGTGGTGTCAGGTACCCTGAAAGATATACTGTATTGTTACCCTGGGAAATATAAAGAATATTAATATAACAATTCTATAAGAATGACTACATCTGAAATATATATACATATTATATACTATTATACTGTATAGTAGCTGATTATTCCTCGGTATAGTACTGTAGTACCTAACTTAAGTAAAATTCTAATGATAAAAATAATGTAATTATTTAAATTTGTCAATATCATGATATAAATCAGTACGTATACTATAAATAATACTGTTCTGTATACACACACACACACACATATATATTGCATTTGTTTTATGTATTAAATTATTCAGGTGCAGTCATCTCAGATTACTTCAGAGCCTGTATTGTTACATTCATGTGGCTGGTGTGTGGGAATGAGCTCATATTTACTTACATGTCACAAAGCTTGATTGACCAGTGTTGTGTCACCTGCATGAGCTCAGGCATTAAAACACACACACACATTGAATGCAATTACCCATCTGCATAATATGTAGGATATTATCCATCTTGGAACAATGTGATCTAGATTATTACCCACCTTTGAGCAGAATCATGTACAGGGAGTTTATTTCCTATCATTGATATCATTATGCTGTTACCCATCTTCACGCAATATCATGTGGGCTATTACCCAGTTTTGAGTAATGTCATGTAGGCTATTACCCATTTTTTCACAGTATAATCTAAGCAATAGCCCATCTTTAAACAATATAATATATATTGATATACTGTACATATATATTCATCTTTGTGCAACATCATGCAAGCTATTACAAATCTTTGAATAATACCATGTCGCCTTTTATGCACCATTGTACATGTCATGCAGGCTATTTCTTGTTGCTTTAGAATTTTAGATCAACAAAAAGAGTTGATTTGTTTTGTTCCTTGCAGCCTGTGCTGCTCGGAACAAAAAGTGCCAAGCAGCACAGGCTATGGTGAACCCGTCGTACTCACCTGGCACAGGAGATGTGCCGATCGTGCAGGCTATTATCCATTTTGTACAATATCATGTATAATTTTACTTACCATATTATGTTGGATATTACCCATTTGTGTGCAATATGTAAGTTATTACCCACTATTTTTACAATACATTTTAGGCTATTAACTTAATTCATGCCAAGTGTTGAATTGTTTCAAGTGAGGTTACATACAATATATATGAATAAATTTAGTTAATATTACAGTAGTAATAGGAGTAGCCACATATGGGTCAATATGTATTCTGCAGTTTCCTCTGTATTTGTACAGCTAAAATTTAGAGCTGCCTCGAGCAACAGCCTTTCAGATAAAACTATCACAAGAAAAGCCTGACCCAATGCCAGGCTTGGAGAGTAGAAGTACTATTGAAACCAACTAATGTTCAGGTAAACTACTGGTAAACAGATCGATTTTAGACTGAAGAAGAGTTAATATGAATTATTCTTAGTTATTGCTCAAGTATTGTGATCCAGCAAAGGTGGCTCAAAAATTCCGTTTTCATACCGTGGATATACTGTACTGGTGTTTTTCATACTGTGGCTATCTCCACCATCGTAGTGATAACTACTTCGCTCTGGTACATTTAATATCATGGTAGGTAGATAAACGAAAGATTGCCTTGGCCAAGGTGCCAGAGTTACCTCTCGGAGTTGGTGGAGTGGTGGAGAAAACAGTCACAAAAGCCAGGCTGCTGGCTAAGTGTCAAGTATTTAGGATATTGGTACCTCCCAACTGCCTCCATTACTAAAGTACAGACTGCACCAAGGCCAAGGCTGTCTCTACCATCACCACCTGTTGTTTGGGTCAAGGCTGTCTCCACCATCACCACCTGTTGTTGGGGTCAAGGCTGTCTCTGCCATCACCACCTGTTGTTGACATCAGTATCTTAAATTATTAATAATTTTTTAACAGGCTTTCTGGAAAGCCTTCATTTATTTCAGTCTCTGTTATACTTTTGTTAATAGTAAAAAAAATATACACAAATAAGCAACAGGACTCATTTTTCCATAAACAAATTTTCATTATTATTGTTACCAAGTCATTAATATTACTTCTTGGAAATTACTAGTTATTAATAACGTATAATTCTTAAAGCTGTACCATTTAATAAACTTAACTTTTCAGTCCATGCTAATTTTATTTTCTCATTCCTTTCAGGTGTTTGGAGGTGGTCCGCAGGATGTCGCTTAATGGGCCACAGCTTACGAGCTTGGTGTCAGAAGTTGTGCCTCCGCTGACATATGCAGCTCACAAAGGCCAGGCTGGCCGAATTGGCATAATGGGTGGATCCTTAGAATATACAGGTGCACCTTACTTTTGTGCTATGACTGCTCTACGTATTGGTGCAGATTTAACTCACATCTTTTGTCATCGTGATGCAGCTGTACCCTTGAAGTCATATTCTCCAGAGCTGATTGTCCATCCCTTATTAGATGCTAATGACCCAATGACTGAAATTGATGAGTGGCTACCTCGTCTTCATGCCTTAGTGTTGGGTCCTGGTCTTGGAAGACGACCGCAGACATTTGCTACTTTGGGCCATGTGATTGAAGCAGCCAAGGATCGCCAGTTGTTGCTTGTTATTGATGCTGATGCTCTTTTCTACCTGAATGAAAACTATGACACTTTACAGGGATACAGCAATGCAATTTTAACCCCAAATAAGGTGGAGTTTGCTCGTCTGTACCGAGCAGTCATGAAAGGGGATATGAAGGCAGAACATGTTACTTCTGATCATGTTCAACAAGTGGCAAAGAAGTTAGGTGTTACAGTTGCATGCAAGGGTAATGTTGATATCATTGCATCAGGTGACACTGTCATTACGTGTGAGGTTCCTGGCTCTCCAAGACGTTGTGGTGGTCAAGGTGATGTGCTCAGTGGTGCTGCTGCAATCTTCCTTTATTGGGCATTTGGCACAGCAGCTGCCACAATAGAAAAACCACTTTACCCACCAACAGTATTGGCAGCATGGGGTGCATGTGCTCTAACCCGTCGAGCTTCTGGTCTGGCCTTTACCCAGCGTGGACGGGGTACACTCACTACAGATATGCTTCAGTTTGTTAGTCAGGCCTTCACATCTCTCTTTGTTAACAAATCAAAATGAAGTTAATACCCATCTTTAATCCATTCTTATTAACCCAGTCTCAGTTTATATGGCCCAGTGATTCCAGTTTCCATTATAGCCATCATAATGTTGTAGAGATCAAATTGCAGGGTCCTTTCTACTCAGCTTTAACTATATGTCGAGTTTTGTTCATGGTGCTCAATATTTTCTTCACCCTAAATTAAATACTACAATGTTTGAATAAAGCCACTATAGTTTTATGTTACAATGAATCCCTATTCTTGTTTGTGGTACACATTTTGTTAATTTTTTTTTTTTTTTGCACATTTAAATTTTATGTTTATCTCACTCTCTGGTTAGTGAACTTTCTGCAAGAGGCTCATGTCAGCCCAAATTTTTTGGGGAAAATGTGGGTAGTCAGTAGTTGTAAAACTTTATTATAGGATTGTTCTAGAAACTTTGTAGTCTATATTTGTTTTGTCTTAGATAAGAAAATGTCTTTCTTTGTAATGTATAACTTGTGTTCAAGTGAAGAAACCGATATAGAGCTTAGGAGGAAATTATGAACATTTTAGGTTATTGTTTGTGGTTCATTTTGTTACATTTTACATTAACTTTTCCATTCCCTTACATGATACCTCACATAAGCACTTGGTGTAATGTATTGTTGAAGGTTAATTGTATTATCTAAATGTTGCAGGCTTTATTAAAGCAAGTAAATGAAATTTTCAAATTTGTAAGCAAGGATTAATATATGGTATAATTGTATTAGTTTAAAATCTATTCAGAAGCCCTAATTATTATTTTATAATATGTATCTTGGCATTTATTATGCTTTGAAAACTGTAGCACAAGACAAATGGTGTATTAATAATGTCTTAAATATACCGTATATTGGATCGTAATGTAAAAATAGCGCCTTAAGCTTTACAAATTGTCACCACGAGTATCCATAATAATGAACAATATATTTTTTTGTTTTTATAAGAATATTTTTATTTATGCATAGTAAACATTATTAATGTTTGCATGTAGCTACTAAAATACTTAAAATTAACACATGTTTGGCGAGTTCCTCTCATGATAAAAAAGAGGCTATAAAGGGAGAGAATATAATTGTGATAAATTAAAAATAAACAAATTTTATCACCCTCTGGAGAGTTATTTAGGCCACCACATTAGCTTATTGATCAACCAGCAAATATACTTTAGTCTTGAACACAGTCCAGTACTAAGATAAACTCTGTGAACTTAAAACAAAATGCTGGATACAACTCCGTGTACATACAGTATATATCATATAGAAAGTAAACGAGTAAAAACACTCATACAGTACAGACTTCACCCCTTTAACTCGGTAACCGAGCACACTTGATACAAAGTTGCAAAGCTTCATTAAACATAGCAACTGAAGAATTCCAACTACTCTACTGTTAAAACATTCTTCACATGTGGAGAAAAATATATATTTCTGTAAATCTAATCTTGACTACATATTTTTATCACCTGTAATTCAACTTTTAATACATTACATAAAGTACAAATATCAAGTTATGCAGCTACTCATTCTATGTGTGCTAATACTCAATTTAAAGGTACAGTACATTAAAGTGAACATATTCCTACACTCTGCTGAAGCACTATTTTAGTATTTACTACACTACATAATGTTAACAAAAAAGTATATTTTTTAAATCTTAGTTAACTCATCATTGAAGGTTTACCACAAGTTCTGTACTAATTCATGGAGCTGGTGAAAAATATCCAGCTTCATATTCAAAACTGAGTTTGTGTATGTTTTCTTTTTAATACCGGGTAGTTAAAACTGAATAGCTAATACAGCATAGTATATAACTGCTATACTGTACTTCTGGTAGGAGCTTCAACACCGTAACAAATTTCATTAGGGGTTCAATTGAATAAAATGAACAAAGGTGCAAAGACATGCAACTAAATGGCTTCTGGAACTGAACAATGAGCTATGAGAAGAGGTTAGAGGCATTAAATATGCCAAAGCTAATAGATAAAAGAAGTGGCTATGATCACTACATACAAAATAGTAATGGGAATCAACAAAATTGATAAATAAGGACTCTTGAGACCTGGAACTTCAAGAACAAGAGGTCATAGATTTAAATTAGCTAAACAAAGTTGCCGAGAAAATATTAGAAATTTAACTTTTGCAAACAGTGGTAGATGGTTGGAACAAATCAAGTGGGAAGGTGGTAGAGGCCAAAACCATTAGTAGTTTCAAAGCATATGACAGTGCTGAGAAGATGGGACAAAACGAGCAAAACATTCATCATATAACTGCACTTAGGTAATTACACCCTCCCAAGTTTAAACTTATAACCTAGTGATCACCAGTTCATTACCATCCACACGGCTAATGATTCTCTAAGAATTTTAATCTTAAGATCGACAAAGGAGTCTGCCAAAGAGTAATGAGCTATCTAAGCTCCTAACCAATTTTACACAATTCCTGGGAGCATTTGTGGCTGGAACAGTTGTGATTTTCTTTACATAAACACTTGGAAACATCAATGAACACACACAATGTCACGAAACAAATGTTATAAAGAGCTCTTACTCTTTGGTGATGTACGTCGAGTAAAAGTCAACATACATCACCAACAACTGCCATGTCACACACACACACACACGTGGCACTTCAGGCCACTGGCTAGGGAAGTTATGCCTCTCGTCACAAAAATCTTTGAGTAGCGGTTTGGACAATAAAAGCCGGGTCACACTGTGGGCTTATGCCTGCACTGTGTACCGAATTAAAATATCTACAGCCAATCCTCTTATTTCTGGCATATTTAATAGATCAACACTTAAATTTATAAAATATTATTTCGTTATCTCTTAAAGGTGTTTCATTGTCATTTTAAACTTCAGTCTGTACAGTACTTTAATTTCTGTTCACATTTGTTATGAATGTCTTATGACAGGACACTGAAAATCATCCTGTTAGAGAGCAAAAATAATGCAATTTGAATTCTTCCTAAGCAATAGATATTGACATATATGGTATGAATAAAGTATTTTTGTCATATTTCAAGTTATTTATTGACTACAGTATTTCAATACAAAATTAGTTTTATCTACCTATTTGTTGTCCTGTTTACAAGATTCTGGCATCATGCCATATGCAAGATGTCTAAAGTAATATACTATAAAAACTTAAATAATTATATACATTTTAAACTATCTTATTTCCATTACCAATTACAAAGTAGATACACTATATATTAGCATCTTGAATGATTAAACCATTTGACTATTCCGAGCCACAGATGACGATAAATAGTCTTCCAGGCTTAATGCTTTCTTTTGATAATTAAAAAAATATATATATACTGTAAGTGCAATGCAAGTCTTCTTTATTTCACCGAGATACTAACTTGTCAATTAAATGTAACTCCCAATAACCTAGGTAAAACTTGCCTTTTATACCCCAAACTGGAAATGTACTACCAAATTCAAGATATACTATGCCTATTCTATAGGCATAGTATATACACTAGCTCAATCTAGAAATCCAACATTCTGCTTTTAACTCATTTTGTATGCATGTACTTTTACCTAAATCAAACAAAAAATATAACTTAGAAGAAACTACAATATACAAGAAAGTCTGCTACAAATACTACATTGAAAAATCAAACTCTACATAAACACACATAATAAATAACATTTAACCAGGTACTATTTCTTAATTCCCATTATAACATTAAAGACAAAATTAACAAGAGAAACCAGGCTTAACTATTATTTTCATAAGGCATAAGATCTAGCCCCCAAGTTAGATCCGTGTGATATTGTGATGAAAGCTTTCAGCTAACGAGGGTTTGCCTGTCGACTAGCTTCCGGAAAATACCATTTTTCTGCATCAACTCCGTATAGGAGCCCACTTCACTAATGGCCCCTTCATGTAACACTGCTATTTGGTCTGCATTCCTGTGAAAAAAAGACTATGTTATTCATACTTTAAAGAAAGGAGTACATACTACAATAAATATTTATCTTAAAAGTGCAGTGCATATATTATCTTTCAGGAATTATTTCCTGTGACAGTTCCCATTTCTAAGGTGGTGTTTCTGTGGCCAGTTTCAAGAGCTCTTTTGCTCTTGTAGCCCAGCCTGAGGCTAAATTTTCCTGGTGGCAAACATTCTTGCTGACAATGAAGTGCAGGCCCACATACCCATCAGAAGACAGCCGATATATCACTTCCTGCAGAAACCTCTTTAGTTCCATCTTGAAAACTTAACATTTGTTCAGGCACTATTGATTATATTTGTTGAAAAAAAAATGTTTTGAATTGCCACGAGTCTCCAAATGTTATCTAAACTTGTTCCATTAATTTTTCACCTACATTTAATTTTTCACAGCGTATTGATATTGTACTAATTATTATTCCCAATATTGCCTGCATTTTGTAAAGCAACATTACTGTACGTTATACTGTACATCTAAACTATTATCATTACCTGATCGTTGAAAGCCTGTGGGCAATGGTAATGACTGTACGTCCATGCATAAGGCGTTCCAAGGCTTCTTGCACCAGGCTCTCGCTTTCAGAATCCAACGCACTGTACAAAATGGACAGATAAATATTTGTTAAAATTCATTCACTGCAACTAGCACTAGCCGATATATTTTTATTTCTCTTTGGAAGAAAGAATTGGTTACTGTAAGTTGAAGATAGACAAGAGGGATGAGGAGAGGGTGTGAAGGATGTATCTAGTCTAGAGTGAAGTGGCATCACTGATAATAAGCTTATAGATTTATACCACAACCCTTAAGGGGCTTGAGAGTTCTTGTAGGTACAACTGTAGAACCCATCAGATATAATTTTGTCCAAAATTCTGTAACATTTATTATATTGGACCATACTGTAATCGAAATAATCTTTTCGCCTACTTTATACTTTCATTAGATGGAGAACCCAGTGGTGGCCAGAGCGATCCATCACCAAGGATTCTCTCACAGATCTACCTCACACACGCCCTACCCATCTCCACCAACACACACCCCTTCTCACCTTCTCCACACACCATTCACATCTCCATTCACATCTCCACCCACACACACCCTCCCCCATCCCTGCCCCTATAAACACACCTTTCCTGTCATTCCCCCACCACACACACACATTTGTCACCCCCCCTCACTGTAATCACTGACTACACACGGTCTTTATAACTTTAAACATCTTTACATCATAGCCATGTTATCCCCCATACACTGCCACCTTCTCAATATATGAATAAACTAATATTTGAACAATCACTAGTATCTACAGAATCATGGCAGAACATAATATTCCCAGGCTTCATGAAGGGAGGGTGCATAGAAACCTACTCCCCTTCAAGAATGTTGATCTCATACATGTATGGGACCAACCCAGACCACCTGACACTATTTACAATCACTAATCACTATGCAAAATTGTGTAAAGCTAGCCCCAAGCATCAGGCTTCCAACTTGTTATAGTTCTGATAGCAGATTTTTGCTGGGTGATGATGGGCTTCAGGTAATTTGCAGTGGTTGAACCCTGCACACAGATACTGTATGTTAAATAAGGATAGATTAGCAAGTAGTAGTGTATAGTGAAAGGAGTGCAGAGTGGGGTACATAATGTTTGATTTCAGAGAGTATGGATAGGCAGATAGACATTATATTTTTCAGATAGAGATAGATGGGACAAGGAGGCATATGCCTGGAGAGAGTAGTACAGTTGTATAGAAAGAGCAGGTTAAAAATACTAAGATATATTATTGAAAAAATTACAATTTGGCCTCTCCTCACTCAAAAAAGGCCAGTTAAAAATTCTTTAATAAGGAACTGTTAGATAGGATGAAAAGTGGCAAGTGCAGTTGATAAGGAAAATTAAGTAGATTTTATGGATAGAAGGTGAAAGAGGTAAGAAAGCGAGAATACTAAGAGAGTAAAAGGTACAGTACATGAAAAGATTAATAGACCAGAAAACACTGAGCAAATGAGCAGTGAGGAAAATTTAAAATATATTCAGAAAACAGCATGTTCTTTTGGAAAGAATGAAGGAGAGCAGAGAGACTGGTGGATAGGTAAATGTTAATGTGAAAGACAGATGCGAGAGAATATTAAATGGTGAAGAGATTATAATAAGGTGGAGAAAATATTTTGAAGGGTTCATAGAGGAAAGCGATGTTAGAGATGCCAATGTAAACATTTTGGATTTTATGATGCGAGAAAAGTGGAAATTTATATGACAGCCGATATATCTATTGAAAAGGCAAGGACAATGATGAAGCTTATATAGTAGTATTGGAAAGCTGCTGGCACTGATGAGATTAATGCAGAAATTATTTAATGTTGCAGAGAAAAAGGAATAGAATTTCTGTAAATTATAAAGAAAAGTGTATAAAGAATACACACCTTCTAAGCTGGGTGTAAAGAATTTGACAAGAGGTCTTGACAAGAGGTCACGGGCTAGTGGTACTGCACTAAAGGATTGGTAAAGAGCTGCAAGAGTTACACTGTATAAAAATACAAGAGAATGTAGCAAGTTTAAGAATGATGAAACTAAGCACCACATACTATACCTCGTGGCCTCATCTAGCAATAAGATACGTGGGTTACTGATCAAGGCACGAGCTATTGCAATCCTCTGCTTCTGCCCACCCGACAGCATTATGCCCCGTTCACCAACAACTGTATCAAAGCCTTCTGGGAAGGAGTTGATAAATGAGAGAGCATTGGCTTCCTTTGCAGCAGTGACAATATCCTCATTTGTGATGGCTGCAGGATCCTGAGCACCATACAGCAGGTTTTCATGAATAGTTGTAGAAAACAGCACTGGCTCCTGTTTAGGCATAAATGTTCAATTAAAGCCCAAATAGTATATATAAAACCTCAACAGTTACATAATTTACCTCAAGGTGGCACAAAAGCATGTAAAATTTTCTATAAGAAATTCAGAAGTACACAACAATCCAGAATATGGCATGGTTGTATGAGAAAATATCTAATGTCAGAACTTAACAAGCAAGTGGGGAAAAAGGCAGAATTTCCCAATTCTGTTTAACAAGATTTGACAAAATCTGCTTTATTTGTATATACTTTCCAGTTATATACAAATGGTTTCTCATATCCACCCTTTAATTCTGGTGCTATTAATGTAATTTTGATACAATAGAAATGACAAATTACTATACAGTATTTATAATATTACTGCACAACTTTTGTAGCATTTTAGTTACTTGCCATCAACCTACAGGTATCACCGAAAATTATATGCAAATTTATTAATACGCTACACGAATTACATTATTTTGGACACACCAAATTCATCATCATCATTCAAGCATCAAACTGACATCAACTAAACGAGATTCCATCATTAATATCTTTTCCCACTTTCATAGGGTAGAAAATTTGTTTTTTGACGACCAAAGATTAATACAGAAAAGAGGGTCACAGATGTTCAAATGCTTTCAGGTTTCAATACTTCCCAAAGTCTATGTTATCACCGATCTAGTACCATCACAACAAGCATATCATCTACAGTAGTATCCCAGTCATTTATTTACACTGCCATGTACAAAATATAAATTTTTCATTCTTAACAATCTACCTGTACTTCTCCTCAGCTTTATTCTTTGTTATTCCCCATATTTTGTTCTCATCCATAATGGTTCCCTTGCACGCACACACACACACACATTCACCAAACATACCAATCTCCTTGGTCTTCCTCTAATTCTAATGCCATCAAAATCAGCTAAAGGTTTAAAAGTAGAATAATAAATATATATATAACATTTTTACCTGACTAACAGAACCAATTACTGTATGCAACCATGATGGATCCAGCCGAGTTAACGGTACATCATCAATTGTAATCTCCCCACTTAGTGGGTCATATAAGCGCAAGAGCAAGGATCCAATGGTGCTTTTGCCAGATCCACTGGCACCTACAACAGCAACTACTGAACCTGAGGAAAAACAAAAAAATTTAAGCAAAAGTAAAGCAACTGTGGTGAAGAGAATTATTTTTTTATCTATAGGTTCCAGATTCAATTTCCACCCAGGACAGACACTTGTGAATGGTTCCTTACACCTGATGCCTCTGTTCACCTAGCAGTAAATAGGCACATGGAAGTTCTTTAACTCCTGTGAAGGGTCAGCCACTGGCCCAGGGGGTCCTCAATAACACTAATAGGTTTCCTGTCCCTGACAATGAAAAACTCCCATGTGTCACAGAATTGTTCAGTTATCAAATATGACGCTGCATTAGACTTGCACTAATTGTTCAGCTGGCCGTTAATACTAATAGCTCTGGACATCCACTCAATGCCAACTCATTTTCCAAGTAGAATGCCAGATATAGCTGAACTCCCTCTCTCTTCCCGAGCTATTGCTACCTTAAAATTGACAAGTTTCTATTTTTTTCATTATCAATACCCTCTGCAGTGAGGCAGATAACAGAAGGTTTCTTATTACAACTCGAGATGTTGCTCATCTTATTGACTGCACCAAACTAGCTCAGTAAGATGCTAAATAAAACATTTAAAGCAATGATTATTTCTTACCGGATGGCACAGAAAGACTGAGGTTCTTAAATATTACAGCTTCAGGCCTTGTTGAATATGCAAAGTTGACATTTGTAAAATTGATGTCACCCCTAAAACCATCCAAAGGTAGAGATATACCTGTAAGACAAGAAATTTTGTTTATTATTGAATTAAATAGGAAATTTGCATTGCAATGATCATAACTAATCAATTAATAATGTTTTTAATGTGCATAAGACTATTGAATTCTGAAATAAGTGAATGCAAGACTTCTAAAATAACAAAATAATTTGACTGCAGACAAAAAGCTTCTATACATAAAGTGCTTCCTCAGGCGCTGTTCAACTTTTTCCAGGACATAAATTCATAAGTGTAATGTTCACACCCCTACTACAGAGATTTTTCAAACAGAATGGAGAAAGAGACATTGGATAATTCTTAATCTGGACAAGAATGGCCATCAAAAGGCTCATTAAACCACTTTGTACTCAAAAGGCCTCCAGCAGATATCAAGTTCAATATTGTTCTACTAAACTGCTAGTTGGTTACATGACCACTGCTCCAAACGTCCACCAGGATGTCACTAACAAAATTGTCATGAGGGGCACATGGGAATTTCACCTCACAGAACAAGTTGCGAGAAAACAGGTGGCATGAGAACCAAAAGTCAGCGAGCCACCAAACATAGCCCTAGACTCGCTGTGAAATGGGAAAACAGTCTCATCAGGCAAAGAAGGGGGAACAAGCTCAACATCTCCAATCCAAACCTCAAAAATATCAGCTACCAATGTCTATTCAGCTGTTCCTCCACAACAGAAAACTAATGGTCTTTAGGGAGGCTGCAACCAGCAGAACTGGCTCGGAAACCACGTACCGAGATGATCAAGTCAAGACAGACCCCCCCTGTCTGAAACAATTGGGAAAACTCACACAGACTTAAAAGTACAATATAGAACACTAAGACCTAAATATCTTCATTGGGAGGGCAGCACAAGCTCCACAACAATGAATGCAGGTGACCATACGCACCTATAGTGCTGCCTGGAAAAAATGAATATATAAATATAAATAAATACAAAAATATAAACGAAATATAAATACACAGACAGTATGGTTTTCGAACAGAAAGATCCTGTGTAACAAATCTAATTAGTTTTATGAAAGAGCCTCAGATTCTACAGGAAAGAGATGGTTAGGCTGACTGTAATTGGACCTTAAGAAGGCTTCTGACAGTCCCACACAAAGAGGTTCTTCAAGAAATTGGATCATACTGGAGGAGTGACAGGGTAGACATGGGTGAAAAATGTTTGACAGACAGAAAAATGAGGGCAGTAATCAGAGACAATGTATCAGACTGGAAAAATGTTACTAGAGGAGTATTACAGAGTTCAGTTCTTGCACTAGTAATGTTCATCATCAATATAAATACTTTACCGGAAGGAATACAGAATTACGAGAGCATGTTAACTGATGATGCTAAGCTACTAGGAAAAATAAGAGATTTGGACAATTGTCTTGCTCAAAAATAAATTGAAGTTTTCCTTTGCAAACAGTGGTAGATGTTTGGCACGAGTTAAGTGAAGGTGGTGGATGATAAAATCATCAGTAGTTTCAAAGCATCATATGCCAAAGAGTAGTAGGAAGATGGGACACCTTGAGCATAGCTCTCATCCTGTAATTACACTTGGGGAAATTACACTTGGGTAATTATATATCCCCCTACCTTTACACAATTTAAATCCAAGTAAGGTATGGATGTAATGGACAACTTTGCCATGACCAGGAACATAACCATATTTTTAACATATGTTAGCACATCATTTTAAAGGAGCAAGTGTACAAAAAATACCTCCATGTGTTGGAATTTTTGGTATTCGGTCCATTAAACCGAATAATCTTGTGGATGCCCCAAGACCACGATTCATTTCCGAGTAGAATGAAGAAATTCCGCCAAGAGCAATGCCAACATATGCTGCATACAGGAGGAATGATGAAAGTTGTCCAATGGTGAGGGAAGATTCAGAGACCAAACCTCCTCCATAGTAAAGGACAGATAAAATGATGACGTTTCCACTCAGTCCAGTCTGAAATATTTATTACTATATATATATATACAGAACATGAAATTAGCATTAAGTATTTTAGAAAGCTTATTTGACCAAAAAATCCATGTCAATCAAATTTAGTACTACTCTACTATATTATAGTCCCTGCAAAACAAGGTGAGGGGGGAATTGAGCTGGGTACCCATCTTCTCAAAATCATCACCACAAAAGGCACAGCTGGTCTCAGAAGTGAGGCCCATAGCTGCCCAGACACCAGAAAACAAAGGCAGCCTTGTATGGTTGTGTGAAACCATTTGGGAAATAAATGATGTTTTTAATAATATATAGTCACCTGGTACAGTATCTCCAAAAGGCAAAGAACCTCCATGCTTAGAGGTTAGACAGGTTTTTGCTTATTTAAGGCAAGTCAACAATCTTATGAGTGCAGGAGATATGTTTTTAATGCATTTCTGCTGGGTTATACTCATGCTACACACACTGGAGAAAATTTTACCTAGTCCAGAATGACCGACAGAAACCACATTCCAAACACTCCACAAGCATCCTGTAACTCCACTTACATAGTTATTAATAAAACAAAAAATAAAGCTACTAATTACCAGTCCAAAGAAAATTGCTCTTGCAAGAGATTCTTTGTATGTCATATGAAGAACACTGTCAATATTACTGTCATATGTCTTCATTTCACGAGGCTCTTGTGCAAATGATCTTACTGTACGAATGTTGGCAATTCTTTCTTCTGCGACTTGTGTCGATTGTGCAAGGGTGTCCTTAAATCAAAGAAATTTGTATACATACAGTACTACAGAATAAATAAAGCAAGTTTATTTCACAGGCACAAGAATTATACTTTGACTTTTCTTTACAATTTATTTATATGCCTACAAAATGATTATGTTGACCATAATAACTACAAGTATTTTGAGCATTTCACATACAATATATACTGTAAAATAATTTCCTTAATACTGTACTTGAAGTTTTATTATTTAAGTACAATAGTCCAATAAAATTGGAATGCTATTTCTTACAAGTTTTATTTACTAAGTGTCTACAGAATTATTTACTACTTAAATATTCCTTTCAGTTAAAGGAATATTAGTTAATTGTAATATTAGTTACTCAGTAATAATCATTACTTATTTAAGAGTAATATTATTATTACTAAATATTAAATTAATATTGGTTATAGTTAAGAATGATGGATCTCCACTGAAAAAATAATTTCCTAATTGCCAAATTTGTATTTTTCATCCATATATAATATAATTCATGAAAAAAGAATGATTCTAACCTGCACATGTTTAGTAATGTTGCGCACATAGCGACCATACCACACTGCCATGAGGGCCACAGGAGGAACAATGCTCAGTCCCACTACGGCCAATTCAGTCGACATATAGAACTGAAAAAAATTCAAATGTTCCAAACAATAACGATAAAAACAATCTGACAAATACACTAAAACATATATTTATATTTCAGGTATGTAATACATAGTATATCCACCTTTCAATATACAAACCACAGAACATAATCAAATTCAAACTCTCTCTGCACCTATTCTGAACCGGTCTACTTCATAGCCCCTTTAAACAATGGGGCACTTTTCCCCATGGACAAGATGAGACACAGCTAGGCAATTGTAAACATTTACTGCTCATCTTGGCAAGTGACAATGAGGAAAATCAAACACTGGAGCTCAGCTCAATTTAAGTTAGCCCACTTGGCCTTTACCCAGCCTACCAGACATTTAGCCTGGCTCCGTTCTTACACAGGGGAGCGTACAACCAAAAGAACTGGTAGGTAGCGAGATGGCAGAGCTGACCAACTCTTAGCTAGTGAAGAGTACTCTGTTGGTAGTCACTTGTATTGGCAAGGAAGGCTTGGAACGGGGGTTTGAATTTATATGAATGAATCTTCAAGAGGTCATTTGCAGCTGGACTGAATGTTCTCCAGTTTTCTGAAGCATCAGTGGTCTTGTAGGGACCCACTGAAAAGCTCTGCATATTGCCTGACTGCACGATTGTCTAAAGAACACAACAAATTTTACCTTAGAGAGCAGCCAAGTAGGATAACATATACTAGTTAACAACTATGGAATGGATAACTTTAAAAAGTGTCCATGATAAGCAGTTAAAAAAAAAAGTATGAAATAAAGTTTAGTAATATATTACTGAATTGTTAATTTAACACTTTGACTAACTAATTTAAAGGCAATATATTTTTATGGGATAACGACAATAGTGGAGGCTGCTTTAGTTAAACAGGGATGGATGTTATAGGTGGTTGACTCCATAGTTTTGCATGGTGTAAGCTCAATAACATTCAACAAGTGCAAAATATTTTCTGCATATATACTATTATAACTCAACTGCATGAAAGGTATGTATGACGATATTCATTTGAGACAGCAAGAGGAATTACACATCTAAACTTCTTGCATTCCAGTAGCCATCACGCAAAAAATGTCTTATTTCTGTATATATTTTCTGAAAACAAACACAGCCAAGGATAGAACTTACCATCATCCCAACTCCAGCTAATGCCATGACACTGGACCTCAGACCATCAGAGATGTTCATAGTAACTGACTGAGATACTACAGCTGTATCAGCTGACAGGCGGTTTATGAGTTCCCCCGTTTTATTTGTATCAAAGAAAGCAACCTCTTGTTTCATGATTGAAGAAAAAACTGATGATCGAAGAGCACGTGTTATACGTTGGCCTGAAACATTTGACTTCTAAATATTTCTTCACTAACAATTTTACTAATCTTAAATTTCCCCTAATAAATACTACTGAAACCTTAAAAATTATGTACCATATAAAAACATGACAGCTAGCATAAACCGGGTAGTATGAGAGGTACATGGATGGGGGGGGGGGTTGCAATGATTACAGGTACTGTACTATACAGTATATAAAAAAATAAAAAATAAAAAGAGCGAGTCGAGGGAATGTAATTAGGACAGACTAGACAACTGAAGAAATTAAGAAAGTGGTAGAGGAGGCAGATGCGGTGGTTTAGGCAGCGATGGTGGAAAAGGAGAGAGAAGTTGGTGGTAGTGGCAAAAGGAACGGGAAGGAGAAGGCGGACAATATTACAGAGCGGCCCTATAGCCCTGACATCATCGATTTACTGACGAAAGCAAGCTCTGGCTAATAAACCAATCTTTAAACTTGTAAAACTATATTGACCATCAGGTGGTAAGCCCAGTACACAATCCTAGGGTCACACAGCCAACCCATCACAAATACTTCCCGACTCAAAGGCGTTATAAAAAAAAATACATATAGCGGAATCTACTATGAAATCACTAACCATATCCTCTGAATTTTTATAATAATAATAATATTAAAGTATAGTGAAAGTGGTGGAAGAATGGAAGGAGTGCAAATAACAAAAGCAGAATGAACAGCTCAGAAAGGCATAGGCTTTCAGGATACTATGGCATAGCAAGTTTTATATGAAATAGGTTATGTAGATAAGACTAAATATATATACTGTACAAGCATGTCCAATAGATTTTTTTAACAGTATTCTTTTAAAATATAATGGCCTACAAAACTATGCATCATACTGCCAACTAAATTTAACTGGGAATGAGAAAATATAATGACCTATAGCATTTCCTTTCGTGTATATGCCCATCAACATGACCAATTACCAGTTTACATTACTGTACCTGCTACATTCATGAGGTACACCCGGCCAAAATTGGCAGCAGCACCAACCAGAAAGACACCACTTAAAGCTAGGCACACGTGCTGTAAGTTCTGCTTCATCACTAGGGTATCAGCTGTATAAATTACATCAATAACATGGCCAAGAGCAAAAGGTATAGCCATTGTTATTGTACTTGATATTGTCAGAAGTCCAATGGCACCTACAAGATATAATTTATGATAAATATGAATTCATCACACAACATATAATCTACATGCTATATAGTTCAGTATGTTCAGTTGTTCACTACATATAAAGCTACTAAGCCTACTATACATATAAAGTATACTGTAGTACCTCTACAAATTATTTTAAACAACAGTAATAGGCATCCATCAGGAATACTGTATAGGAATATTATATCATTTGTTTGAGAGAGATTTAATAAAAGGTGTAGTAGTGTTGTTATTATTATTAATTGGTTCTTTTGTTAGTTATATTTTAAATATTCCAAGATTAAATGGTAATTTAAAACCCAACAAAAAGTATAAATCACCTACATGCCAAAGTCCATCTCTCTGGTTTTGCAAGTGTAAATAACCTTTTAACTTCTGAAGTACTTAAATTCTGAAACTTAGTAGAGGGATCTAAAACTTGAGTTTGACTAGCTGATAAATGCATAGAGGTGTCTGCAACACCTCTCCCACTTCTGCTGTGTTGACATCTTTTACCTAAATTACAGAAAAAATGGTTGAAATTTTAAATCATTACAATACCAATTGTAAAATTAGCATTAAGACATGTAACTGCAAGATATAATTAAGCTAAATAAAATATGAACAATTACTATTCATACACGCATATATATGCAAGTTTATGCAGTTCAATTCCTAATATAATTACTGTACTGTACATTATTAACATACATTTATTAAAATTAAATGTACAGTAGTGATAAATATGTAAAATAAAATCCTCTTTACCACACTCACCCGAGACATTGGGGGATCCGATACCCTGAAAATACTGTTCATGAAGATGTGATGTTCTTTTTGACCCTACTGTACCACTGCTACTTCTTAGGAGTTGCACCCATACCTATTAAGCAGTTGACAAGGAGTTAAGATTAACACCAACTTCACAAACATCAACCTTGGTTATAATATTATACAGTAAATATGGTTCATTTCTATCCTATTAATAATCATCATTTATTGCTCTACAGAACGTTACCTCCATATATCATTTGCTTTATACTCGGGATGATGCACCTAGCAACATTCAAAGAAGTAAAAGGGTCTAAATGAGAGCGTACCTTACATTATATCTTGTGGAAACTTCATGTAGGTACCATTGCTAAATCACAATAATAATGAACTTCATTTCATCTGGGCAACTGCAGTTAAATGTAACTAAAGGGCTAAACATCATCACAATGTAAAACATAAATTGTTTAAAAGAGCACGGAAATTGGATAATCCTAAAAGAAAAGGAGTAAATGTTGTGTAACAGTCCACGTGACAGTGGTAAAGCACTCTCACGGTGTTTTGTGAGCACTTTCGCCTGGGTTCGTATCCAGGCCGGGGAGGATTGACTGGGCGCCAATCCTTACCTGTAGCCTTTGTTCACCCAGCAGTATTTGATGGGGTACCTGGTTAAATGATTTGGCAAGTCGTATTGTGGGGGAAATTAGGATTAAGGACCTGCCCAAAACACTATGCGTGCTAGTGGCTTTACAAGAATGTAAGAACTGTTGTACATATATATATATATATATATATATAAAGTGTACTGTATATGGAAAACATTCTTGGTTGTTATGAGGTACTATTTTAAGATGATGTTTGACTACTGCTGATATATGGCTACACATACTTGATCCTAGTGCCAAGTTTTAAAGGCCTGAGGACCCAGGCAAACATGCCAGCATTGGGAAACATTTTTTAAGCATCTAGATATAAGGCAAGTATCATAGTGAAGAATCACTTTTATTCATTGAACTCCAGCCAAGCATTACAGTAAAAAATATATAAAAATAAATATAAATAAATAAAACTATATCCATGTTAATATTACAAAAATATGTCAAACTTTACCCCCAAACTACCACCTCGCAAGCCTGGAAGCCAGCTTTGACGAAAAGCCAGCAACACACTTGGATCCAAGGCCGCCAACGGGACTTGTGCGCCACGACATGTTATGGCTGCTAACACTCCTGACATCTCCAGTCCTGAAAAGAAAAACCATGAATGAATAAAGTTTTATTACATCATTTTGACTACCGAAGTGTAGTTGGTTAAAAAATCACAACGTGAAAAAGTTTGACCAACAAGTCCCATCGTACAAGGAGTTTGTCAACAGATTTTAAAAACCAATCTAATCTTGCTTAACCTAACCTAAACCAACCTACCATAATCTGCCCAAAACGCTACGAGTGTTAGTGGTTTTCGAAGTATGTAAGAACACCAATTTTATGTACTCTCACAAACCCAAAGTACTTTCTTGTATATAAACAATTAAATGACAATCTCATCCAGGCCTAACACAGTCTCATATGATTTTGATAATTAGATAACAATCTTTATTGAAAGGCTTGTGAACATTTTTACCACATAACCCCCACAAGGGTGTCGTATTGATACAGTATTCACAGTTGTCTGACTGGTGTTCACAGATGTTCAGAAGTATATATGTTCAGGACTATCATTAGTGCCTACAGATGTACAACTGTGCCCATACGTGTTCACTGATGTCCATACCGGTAAGTGATTATGAATGTTAACGTACATTGACAGGTTTTTGTCCATGGATACTCAAATGTGTCACAAGTGCTCACAATATGCCAAGACTATCGTACAGATGTCCACAGGTGCTCACGTGTGTTTATTCTATCTCACAGACGTCCAACGGGTTCTCAAATTATTTGAGAGCCTCACAGATGTCCAGAGCGCCTCACAGATGTCCAGGGAAGCACACAGTCACGCGAGCACCTGGCAGGTGTTTCCCCAGAGGTGGACAGGTGTTGAACTGTTGACAGCACACACAGCTGTGGCCAGGTGTGGGCTGCCAGCCAGCAAGTGCACACCACCACCTCCACGCTCACTTTCTCTCACGACACTCATAAAACTCATCTAATCTCACTACATCTCATAATATACACAGTAATTATAACATATTGTTGTTGTTGATTTACGGGCGATTATAACATATTGTTTAACATACGAGCTCTTGATAATAGCGTTTGTGACTACTCAAAATTGTTGTGATATTTATATTTATAATGCCTCGCATGAGTAAGTATTTTTTTTTAATTTATTCATAAAACAGGATAACACTGATGAGTTGAAAAAATATATATCGAATGTGTTTCTTGTTACAAGTAATTTATTTGATTCAACAATAAATGAAAACCTTAGAGAATATACATGCTAGAGGAAGCATCGCCTGTGTTATGGGGCGACGGCCTTGAGGCACACATGTGGCTGATCACGTGACTGATGGCAAGTCAGTGGGTCAAATTAGTACAGTATATTGATATATACAAGTTCTTATAATCTTGTACGGCCACTAGAACGCATAACGTTTCCGACAAGTTCTTAATCCTAATTTTCCCCAGAATACGACCCGCCAAATCGTTTAAAACCATTCACTGCTGGGTGAACAGAGGCTACAGTTAAGGATTGGCGTTCAGTCAATCCTCCCCGGCCAGGATACGAACCCAGGCCAAACCACTCGCGAAACGCCAGGCGAGTGTGTTACCACTACGCCACGGACACTGCAGGAGCCCCTATTATGGGTATTATGGAGCCCTGCATATCCTATGGTCGGTGGAGCTACCTTACAATGCATAGTTGACGTATATAAATGGATAAAAGGGTATAACAAAGGGGGATATGGGCAAGATCTTCAAATAAATGAAATGAACTTTATTATATTCAATTTTTTTTAACTATCTTAGGTATACCCAGCAATGTGCTGCCTATTCTATATGAAAGATTACAGTGTATATAGAAAACTAGCTATAAGTTCATCTAATATTCCCATCTCATAGGATGGTTAGCCATAACCATGATATGAGATGGGAATATTAGATGAACCTGCCTTTATTGAGGCAGGGGAGAAAATACCTGCCTCAATAAAGGCAGGTATATAACACAGCTTATCTTGTTAAATCTTGTAACACCCTACTGCCTGTACTCCAGTTCGTAACATTAACCTGTACTCAAGCTTGTAACCTTACCCTCAACTCTAACTTGTACCAACCTAGCCTGTATTCTAACTTGCAAAGAATTTTCGTGCTCTGTTATTTATTCTTGTAAAGTAAAGTTATTTATTGTATGCCCGAAACGCTTTGCGTAATAGTGGCTTTAGGCATTGTATGTACTAGCTATACCTA